CTGTCTCTCTTAAACACACACACACACACAAACACACACACACACACACACACACACACACAGTGGCATTTCATACTATACAGCTATTGTTGAACATTGAAATCCATAGCAGAGATTTCAATCAACTTTGTCCATTGAGATCAGTCAGGTGGAACTACCAACAAGCAGAAAGTTCTCAAATACTGTTGGTTCCTTATTATATTGATAACTAAAGAAAACCCCTGTGAAGCCACAGGAGGATGTTATTTCCGGAGTTCATTTCCCTATGCAGCACGTCTGTGCCTTAGAGTCAGTTCCTAAGGAAGCACTGTGCCACGTGAAGTGAGGTCTTAAGTTTAATATGGGGGAGGGCAGATCGTCCCCAGGCACGGAGTTCTGCAAATGTGAAACTCTGCGTGTTAATAATAGTGTTACTAAATCTGTTGGTAACGGTGCTGGGGGATCTAAATTTAGCCAAGAGAAGAAAACGTTGTGTTGTTACTCAGATGCAATCTTCCACGCAAATGGTTCTTCCAAGATGCTGGAAAGGCTTAAAACAGACGACTGCACATTTGTGTTTTGATGGAAAGGGATGGTTCGCGAGGGGACACCCTCAAGTTATCTGAGTTTTGTCTTCCAATGCCTGGAACTGTTTATGATTTGGTAAGTTGTAGGTGAATGACGCGCAGCAAGTTCTGTCCTGCTTGAGACAGGCTTAGTTCATCTCCCTGCCCACTCTGGAGGAAAACGCCAGCCTGCCTCCCGTTCATTTCCCTTTTACTCTCTCTCTCCTCTCTCTCTCTCTCTCTTTCTCTCTCTCTCTCTCTCTCTCTCCCCCTCTTTATTTCTCTCTCTTGTTTTGTCTTTGTTTTGGGGCTCCACTGTATGCTGCTCAGGGGTTACTCTTGGCTCTGTGCTCAGAAATCATTTTCGTGGTGCTCAGGGATGCCAGGATCTGTTCAGCCGCAAGCAAGCAAGTGCTTACTCACTGTTTTCTCTCTCCGGCTCCTTCCTTCCTTCCCTCCTTCTTCTTCCCTTCCTTCCTATTTCTCTCTTCTCTTTCTTTTTTCTCCCTCCCTCCCTCTTTCTTTTTTCCCTCTCCATCCCTTGATTTTCCCCTCTTTCTTTATTCCTTCCTCTCTTTCTCTCTCTCTCTTTCTTTCTTTCTTTCTTTCTTTCTTTCTTTCTTCTTTCCTTCCTTCCTTTCTTTTTCTTTCTCTCTCTTTTTTCCTTTCTTCTTTCTTTCTTTCTTTCTTTCTTTCTTTCTTTCTTTCTTTCTTCTTTCCTTCCTTTCTTTTTCTTTCTCTTTTTTCCTTCTTTCTTTCTTTCTTCTTTCCTTCATTTCTTTTCTTTCTCTTCTTTCTTTCTTTCTTTCTTTCTTCTTTCCTTCCTTTCTTTTTCTTTCTCTCTTTTCCTTCTTTCTTTCTTTCTTTCTTTCTTTCTTCTTTCCTTCCTTCCTTTCTTTTTCTTTCTCTCTCTTTTTTCCTTTCTTCTTTCTTTCTTTCTTTCTTTCTTTCTTTCTTTCTTTCTTTCTTCTTTCCTTCCTTTCTTTTTCTTTCTCTTTTTTCCTTCTTTCTTTCTTTCTTTCTTTCTTTCTTTCTTTCTTTCTTCTTTCCTTCCTTCCTTTCTTTTTCTTTCTCTCTCTTTTTTCCTTTCTTCTTTCTTTCTTTCTTTCTTTCTTCTTTCCTTCCTTTCTTTTTCTTTCTCTTTTTTCCTTCTTTCTTTCTTTCTTCTTTCCTTCCTTCCTTTCTTTTTCTTTCTCTCTCTTTTTTCCTTTCTTCTTTCTTTCTTTCTTCTTTCCTTCCTTTATCTTTCTCTCTCTTTTTTCCTTTCTTCCTTCTTTCTTTCTTTCTTTCTTTCTTTCTTCTTCTTTCCTTCCTTCCTTTCTTTCTTTCTCTCTTTTTTCCTTTCTTCTTTCTTTCTTTCTTTCTCTTTATCTTCCTTCCTTCTCTCTCTTTCACTTTCTTTCTTTCTTTCTTTCTTTCTTTCTTTCCACACCCTCTGGTGCTGAGGGCTTACTCCTGGTTCTGTGCTCAGGGAGTACTCTTTGCAGAGCTGAGGGACCATACTGGGTTCTGAGGATTGAACCTGCACTGACCACATGCAAGGCCCATGCCCTGCCCACTGTTCTATTGCTCTGACCCCTTAATACTTGCTTTTTCTGAGGAATGGGCCTTTGGCCACCCCAAGTTCTGGGCAGGGATTCCTCCCAGCAGTGCTCCCGAAACCATATGGCACCTGGGATTGAATCTTTTCTACTTCAGGCAAGCATGTTCTTGTCCATTGAACTATCTTTCTGGCCCTAATCTTTTCCTTTTTTGCATTTTCTTTTGAGTTGGCTTTTAAGATCTGCCTGCTTTCTTCATTAATTAATGGTTTGCAAAATATCTTGGTCCACACATCATTTTAATCTGTGTGAGTATCATGATTTTATATTCCTCTGAAATTGCTCCTGAGCAGATGAGTTTGTGATAATAACTGCCCCCCACACCTGTGTCTATAGGATTGCTTTGCCTCCTATTTTAAGAGAAAACCTCTTTGAAGGAAAAGATCATTTCCCACCTGAAGTCTGAATTTTCTCTTTTTGTTTTGTTTTTGAGTCAGACCTGGTGACCCCAGGCATTACTCCTGGTGTGGTTGGGGATCATCGAATGCGAGGGATGAACTGGAGCTGGCCCTGAGCGAGGCAAATGCCCTCCCCACTGTCCTGTGGTGCTGGCCCTGGATTCACACATGTTTCAACTAGAAGAATCTACATAAATAAGTTCCTATGATCAGGTCACGCCACTACTGCTTTGTTGTTTAAAATCTGCCTTGCGGGGCTGGAGCGATAGCACAGCGGGTAGGGCGTTTGCCTTGCACGCAGCCAACAAGGCCGATACAGGTTCGATTCCCAGCATCCCATATGGTCCCCCGAGCACCGCCAGGAGCGATTCCTGAGTGCATGAGCCAGGAGTAACTCCTGAGCATCGCCGGGTGTGACCCAAAAAGCAAAAAAAAAAAATCTGCCTTGCAATCTCCTGCAACTCAGGGTCATTCCCCAGCACCGGAAATGATCCTCTGAGCACTGCCAGAATGATCCCTGGGCACAGAGCCAGGAGGAAGGCCCAAGTGTCACGGGGTATAACCAACCCCAAATCTGTGGCTCCAGGATGCTTCTAATTCCCCGTCCCCTCCCCCCATTGCCATTTTTTTTAAGTGGTGGGCCACATCTGGCTCTGGTTACAGGGACCACCTGCTGGCCAGGTGCCTCAGCCTGAGCTCTCCCCAGACCTTCCCTTATTTTCCAATCACATTTGTGCCTGCTGAGCTGGCTGAAACAACCTTAGTCTGACGAGTGGGCAAAATATGGAAGGGGAGTGGGAAACAGTGATAGACATGTACTCACGTATTTTGCAGTGCCAGGCATTGAATCTAAGACCCACACATGTGGGTCTTAGGTGCGCATGTGCTTTGCTTCTGAGTCACATTCCCGGTCTCCTAATTAAAAGGTAAAGGTAAAGGCCCTCCCGTTGATCGTCGATTTGCTTGAGCGGGCCCAGTAACGTCTCCATTGGAGACTTTGTTGTTACTGTGTCTGGCATATCCAATACGTCACGGGAGCTTGCCAGGCTCTGCCGTGAGGGCGAGATACTCTCGGTAGCTTGCCGGGCTCTCCGAATTATTGACTTTTAAAGATAGTCAGGCTCTGGTGAAGATGAGACTTAGAGGGAGAGCACGCGCTTCGCTTCACAGGTCTGAGGTCTTGGGTTCCATCCCTGCAGCAAAAGATAAGGTAGTGGGTGAAATGAAATAGCCCAGTTTTTATTTACAGGAGGTTGCGAGTTTGGGGGACCTGGGTTTGTGATGCGTTTAGGGGAGGGCAAGGGGAAGCTGGGTAGGAGCCCTACCAGGGCCATGCTCTGCTCCCTGGGTACTGCGAGGCATGGAAAGGAAAGGGAGGGAAAAGCTGGAAAGACAGGGGCAGGAGCGATAGTACAGCGAGAAGGGCGTTTGCCTTGCACCGGGCACACCCGAGCTCAATTCCCAGCATCCCATATGGTGCTCCGAGCACCGCCAGGAGTAATTCCTGAGTGCAGAGCCAGGAGTAACCCCTATGCATCGCGGGGTGTGACCCAAAAAGCAAGAAATAAAAAATAAATAAAAAGAAGGAAAGACAGAAACAGGGAAGGAGGGAAGGCAAAAAGGAGAGAAAGGGAGAGGAAAGTAAGGAAGTTAAGCAAGGAAATCAAGGAAAACCATTGAGGCCCAGCGCTGGCGATGCCTCTGGGCTGTCCGGGGGTGCCCGGGGGTGCCCGGTGCACGGGGCTGGCGCTCCGAGCTGAGATCCGCATGCGGGACACGCGCTCGGGACCCAGGGCCGGCGGCACCTGACCGCAGGCGCCTGCCAAGGCCCGGGCGGGCTCACCCGCCCTCCGCCCTTCGCCCTCCTCCCTCCTCCCTTTGCCCGCCGCCGCCTCCTCCTCCTCTCGCCCGCTCCCTCCCTCCAGGCCCAGCGCGGGGACTCCGGGCCGGCCACCGGCCCGCCCTTGGTCACTCCCCGCGGAGCTGCACGCTAGGCGGGACAGGTAGGGACGCGGGGCTGCGCGCGGCGGGACAGGTAGGGGCGCGGGGCTGCGTGCGCGGGGTCTGGCCGGGTGCCCGGGGCACGTGCGTCCCCCCTGCAGCCTGCAGCGTGTGCACGGTGCTCCCCGAGAGACGCCCCCGGCTCCCCAGCCCGGCTCCCCGCGCGGCACCGGAACGCGGAGGGGCGCGGGGCGCAGGAGGTGCGCGGGAGGAGCGCGCCCCGTGCGTATCCATCCAGCAGGGATGCCGAGGACCCGCCACCCCCACTCGCTCCCGTGGAAGGCCACCTGTTGTTTTCAACGCCCATGTAAAATAAGGTGGACAGGGCGAGCCTGCTGGGTATCAGGGGAAACACTAGCCAGCCCCCAGCGCCGGGCCCGCAGTGGCCAGGCGCGGCCACGTGATGGGCATGTTTGCAGGCCAGTGTGTGCTCAGCCCAGCCTTCCCGGGGTTTACTCTGCAGGCCGCGCCCTCTGCAAAGGGCAGCAACTGTCGAGAGGGCGCTGCTTGGCAGCCAGACGGTTCTAGAACCACCCAGGGATAAGAGGAGGGCCCCCCCAGTGAAGGTCAGTTTCTGGCAGATCCCTGGGATGGTTTTTGCTGAGCGGGAAGCTCCCCCCATGCCCTCCGGGCTGCCTCCTTTCTGCACTTTCCCCGCTTGGGGGTGGGGGGGCTGTCCCCAGTCCTGGTGTCACCTGCTCACCGCCTCCAGGTCTGAGTCTCTGAAATGCTTCTAGTAATTTCTTCCCAGACTTCCTGCTTGCAGCACTCACATCTGTGCCAATCCTCTTCATGAGTCAAAATCTATTTTATTCTTTTCTATTTTGGGGGGTCCTCCCTGTGGTGGTGCTTTGCCCTGAGGTTGTGGAGGGGGGGACCCACGCCCCCAGCTTCCAGGGCTCACCCCTGGAGACTTGGGGAGCAGGTGGTACAGGGGAGAGGCCCCGGACCTGCCAGGTGCGAGGCGGGCCCCTGACCCCCGTACTGTCTCTCTCAGGCCCCGTTTTCTTTCTGTTGGTCTCTTTGGTCCATTTTCTCTCTTGAGAAAGTCTGACTCTCATGTTATCTAAAGGATGAGGGCTGCAAGCAGAGTGAAGGCAATTGGGGATACATTTCCCCATTTCCCCCCGGCTTGAGTTGGGGAAGAATCGGCCTCTTAAACTGGGGAAGGTCGAGTTCAGAGATACGAAGTGATTCCTCCCAAGCCAAATGCCAATATGTGATAACTTTCTTCTTTCTTTGTTCAAGAGATGCCCAGGTGCTTCCGAGATAGGGTGTTTGGTGGGACAGAAATGTGACTGAGCCGGGCGTGGACCCCTGCTCTCTTTTGGGAGATGAAGGAGGAAGGGTTGTGTTACACCCCTTCGAGCTCAGGGATCATTCCTGGGGGGTTCAGGGGATCAACCCTGGTCAGCCATATGCAAGGCAAGCGCCATCCCCCTCCACTCCACGTCCCTGGACCATCGCCTGGTTCTGACTGTTCTAACCTGGACCCTAGAGTGGGTTCTTGGCAAGCAACCCCCACCAGGCAAACCTGATCTCCAGCTGGCTGGCTCTACGGTGTCCTTAAAAGTTAGTTATTTTAGGGGACTTGGAAACAGTGCAGCAGGTAAGGCGTCTCGCCATGCACGCAGCAGACCCAGGTTGGCTCCCCAACACCCCAGATGGCCCCCCAACCTCTGCCATCTCTGAGCACAGAGCCAGAAGTTGCCCCTGAGCACCATCGTGGGTGACCCCCAAACAAAAACAAACATTTTAGTTCTAATTCTGCATATCTAGAATATTCTGAAAGGACAGGAAGTCCTTTGACAGCCACTGCTATCTACTTGACCCAGATTTTTTTTGACACGTTGCACGAATGTTTTGTTCTTTGTACTTCTTCAGAAAGAAATTTCCTGTTTGTTTGCTGCCGTGGCCGTGGTCTGGCGGTGGCATGTTTTACAACTCCGGCCTGCCCTCTTTCCCACCGGGGGCTTACGGGTGCAGCGTGCCTTCGTTGTGGTGTTGTTTTAGGATTGAAAAGCTCCCGCCTGAAGCCCTAGCCCATCAGTCACTGATTCCACCCTCCTGTGTTGGGGCAGGAGCAGCCCAGGGTCCCCCATGCCCTGTTTTACCTCTTGGACCATATTCTGGGCTTGCTACAATGTTTTCTGGGCTTGCTACAATGTTTTCTGGGCTTGCTACAATGTTTGCTTAGGGATAGAATTTTTTCTTTCTTTTTCTGGGGGAGTGGTTTGGGGCATGCCAGGTGGTGCCCGGGGCTCCCTCCAGGTTCCTGCTTGGGAACCTGCTTGGGAGCAGGGCGTGGACCCCAGACACTGCATCTGAAGCGTGTCCTGTGCCTCTGCGTCTTCGTGGGACCCAGGGATGTGTTTGTTTCTCAGCACTCTTGAGCGGCATGCCCGCGACTCCGGGCTTACCCCAGGGAAATGGCTCCTGCCTGATTCAGGAGTCCAGAGTCCGCTGGGAATGCCACAGGCAGGCCTTTGCCCTAGAAACCGGGAGAGCTGGGGTGGGGGCCACAGTACAGTGGGAGGGCGCTGGGCTTCCATCCTCGACACCCCGTCTGTCCACCCCTTCCCCCCCACAAGCTCTACTGGGAGTCCTCCCTGAGCACAGAGCCAAGAGTAAGTCCTGAGCACAATCAGGCATGGCCCCCAAAGAGAAACCAGACAAACAAAAGCAGCAATCCACTCCCAAAGTGCCACCTTCTACCTGCCCTCCCCCTGAAACCCCCCACCTCCTGTGCTCCTTTGGACCTGAGTGAAGAAGTCCCTGCCCTCCTCCTGGGCTCACAGGCCAGTGCTCCTCTAGTTCCTTCCGCAGCTGGGTGGGTTTCCCACTCTGCATGCCTTGTTTGCCCATCGACATTGAGCCTGTGTCCAAGCCAAATGCCCCGACTGGTTTTCTCTGAAAGGTTCCCCCTGAGTGGACCTTCCTCTCAGGAACCCTGGGGGGCTGCCATGGAAGCCCTGGGCCCCTTCTGAAGCCACCACCGTGATGTCACCATGCACAGCTGCAGAGATGGGGCTCGGTGACCATGGGGGTCCCAGGTGGCAGCGATGTGGTCCTCCCTGCACACATGCCCACCCGCCGGAGTGGGCAGGACCAGCACTAGCAGGAGGAAGGTGCCCAAGGCGGGGTCTGTCCTGTCTGCCCACACCCTCTCGAATCTTCCACAGTGAGCGTCCTGTCCCCCGGAGCTGCCGGGCACTGCCGCCTGACGGTCCCCCGCTTCTTAGCCTCGTTGCCGTCACTCACCTCCTATGGTCACCCCAGACTCTTCCCTGCCCACCTGATGGCCTGCCCCCTCCTCCTCTTTCTCCTCCCCTTCTCCTTTTTCTTTCCCTCTTCCTCCTCTTGCCCTTCTCCTTTTCCTCCTCCTGCTTCTCCTTTATCTTATCCTCCTTATCCTCCTCCTCCTCCTTCCTTTTTCTTCCTCCTTTTCCCCCTCTTTTCCCCCTTAGTTGTGGGCCCACTCGGTGCTGCTCCTGGAATCCTGCTCAGTCTCTCCCCAGGGTGCTCAGGACCAGAGGGCCGGGGAGGGAGCCCAGAGCTTCTGCTGGCAAAGCCTGAGCTTCCGCCCTCGGTGCCATGTCTGGCCAAGTCCCGTTGGGGGACAGCCCTCCATGGCGCCTCCGGCGACTTCCACATCTCAAGGAAAAGCCGATGCCTGCACGATGCCTCCTCTGCCTCGTCTCCCAGCACACGGGGCTGCTAGCCCTTCAGGCAGGAGAGCAGGCCGGCACGGTGTGGCGCAGAGGGCTGAGAACATGCTGCCGCCGTGGGTTCGAGCCCAGGCGCCACACAGCTCTTCAAGCACAGCTGGATGCGACTTCCGAGCACTGAGCTGGGAGCAACTTCCAAGCCCTGAGCTGAGAGCAGCCCCCAGGATCACCGTGTGTGGCCCCAAACCAAAACAAACAGTGAGAGGCAGTCGGCACTATTCACCCTGACTCAGCAGCTCTGGAAGTCGGTGTTCTCTGTCTCATAGGTGTGTCTCGCTGCTGCCGTCTGTGTTCATATGTGTGAGAAAAAGAAGGGGTGTGGTCTCAGGGGCTGAGCGCTGTGTGTCATGCGTGACACCACAAAGTGGTCCCTGACACTGCTGTCGTGGTCCCTGGGCCACAGTGCGTGGCCCAGCCAGCACACAGCCAATAAGCGTCTGTGACATCACCACCATGGGTAAGACAGTGACGGCGACAACAGCCGCAGTGACGCAGGCAGACAGACGCTCTCTGTTCATTCAAAGGACATGGCTCGCCGGCTCAGCTTCCGCCCACTCAGTGCTCCCCGGGCACCCCGTACCTCGCCCTGATCTTCAGCCAGGACGTGGTTGAGATTCACTTGGCTCTTGCTCTGTTCCTTTCATCTGCCTTCTCTTTGTTCTTACGGCCACTTTTGAAGCGAGGAGACTTGGGCAGCGTCCCCCGTCCTTGCATCCTGCAGGTTTTAACTTGGGGATTTGTTTCTGACTTTGTTAGTAGAAACTCCTCCGTACTGATTCTGTTGTTTTCTCTTTTCTTCTTTCGTTTGGAAGCCACACCCAGGAGTGCCCTGGGCCTGCTCCTGGCATAGTGCTCAGGGGTGCTTGATGGTGGTCGGGGATTCATGTGGTGCTGGGGATCACCCCCAGCCTCCTGCCTCCACAGCCGTGATGCCCTTGGGGCTCCGGCGCTCACAGGCGACATACCGACATTGTGATTCTTACTTGTACGCGTTGTTATTGTGATTTGGAGTTGGGGGTTCACCCGCCAGTGTTCAGGGATTGCTTCTAACTCTGTGCTCAGGGAGCACTCCTGGCGGGGCTGGGGGACCATGTGGGACATCAGGAAACAAACCCAGGTGGGGTCTGTGTGCAGGGCAAGTGCCCTCCCCACTGCCCTCCCCACCCTACTCTCTGGCCCTTTGGTTTCTTGTATCCTTCATAGGTGTCAGTGTTCTCGTTCTTTCCTTCTGCTTCTCTGAAGCCCTTTGGGCCTCTTCTCCCCCGACCCGCCAGCCTCAGCATTGAGGTCTGTCTGGGTTATTGGGACTGCGGTCCTGGCCTGGATTTCTCTCCCGAGTGGATGGGGGCGTGTGGAGAGAAGGGCTCTCCTGTCCCTGCCCAGCTTCCGCCCCGTCCTTCCTCACTGCCCAAAAGAGCCCTTTCTGTCTCCCCTGGTTATTGGTCGCTTTTGTTTTCCTTCTCCCCAACTGAGCCCCGAGGATGCACCTCAGCGACCGCTCCTGTTTTTGGGGGTTCCGAGGCCTGAATGGGCAGACCCCGATCCCCGGGCTGCACGTGGGCTTGTTCTTGGGCCCGGCCCGGCTCCGCCTGCTTTGCCAGTGCTCTCGGGACCTAGCCTGGCCTCCTTTCCTTCTGGCAATTTCTGATCTGGCCAGAGGATTTTTCCCATGAGCTCTGCCGTGTGTGTATGTGTGAGTGTGTGTGCATGCGTGCATGTGTGTGTGCACGTGTGTATGTGTGTGTGCATGCATGTATGTTGTGTATGTGTGTGCATATGTGTGTATGAGTGTGCGCATGCATGCATGTGTATGCATGCGTGTGTGTATGTGTGTGCGTGTGAGTGTGTATACGTGTCTGTGCATGTGTGTGCATGCGTGTGTATGTGTGTGTGCATGTGTGTATGTGTATGTGTGTGCGTGTGTGTGTGTACATGTCTGTGCGCATACATGCATGCGTGTGTGTGCGCGCGTGTGTGTATACGTGTGTGTGTGTGTGTGGTGTCTACCCAGTGGTGCTACACCAGGGCTACACCAAGCAGTGCTCGGCGGCTGTGCTATGCTGGGGTCAAATCCGAGGCCTTTCCCGTGCAGGCACACCCCCCTCCCTCTGGGCCCCATCTGCCACCCTGGGCCCTACCATCTTCATGTCCGTTTGTTGGCAGAACAGATTTCCCACCTGCTGTGTCCCTGGGAGACGCCCCCGTGCTTGCTGCTCCCCTTGCATCCTTTCAGAGTACGGTGTGGGAGAAGGTCCGCGTTTTCTGTCGCCTGGTGCCCCTCCCTGACGCCTCTGATGTCCGTGTCCCTCTCTGTAGTCCTGCGCCAGCCTCTGCCATGGCCAACGAAGCGCAGCCCTGCCCGTGTGACATCGGCCACCGGATGGAGTATGGCGGCATGGGAAAGGAGGTGACCGTGGGGCACATCAGGGCGTACGTCACCCGGGCGCCCGTGGACACCGGCAAGGCCGTGCTGGTCATTCAGGATATCTTCGGCTGGCAGCTGCCCAACACCAGATACATGGCCGACATGATCGCCAGGAACGGATACACGTGAGTCTGCGCCCGCCCCCCACACGCTCAGCGTCCCCCTTGCCTTCCTCCTGGCTTGTTCCTTCTGGGGGAAAGTAAACTGTGTTCGTTGTTGGTGCGATGGAGTGCTTCTGGCTCTGTGCTTAGGAAACTATTCCTCGTGGGTTCTGGGGACCGTAAGGGATGTCAGGGACGGAATCGGGCTGAGCCGCGTGCCCACAGTACGATTGCTCCACCCCCGCCTAAACTAGCTTCTGACTCACATGACCCACATCCCCAACCCCCTGAAGGGCTGCAGCAGGCGAGTGCGGATGTTTTCTTTTAACATTTATTTGTTTTTGGTTTTTGGGCCACCCTGACAGTGCTCAGCAATTGCTCCTGGCTCTGTGCTCAGGGATGACCGCTGGGGCCCAGATCAAACCTGGCCTCTCGGGGACGGAGCATGTGCTCTGATGCTGGACTCTGGTGCCTCCTTCTTTCTGTTTTTATTTTACTGTTTAAAAATCGACTTATCTTTTTGTTTGGGGGCCACACCTGGCAGTGCTCAGGGCTGACTGCTGAGTCTGCACTAAGGAATCATTCTCGGTGGGGTCTGGAGGACCAGACAGGATGCCAGGGATTGAACCCGGGTCAGCCACATGCAAGGCAAACACCCTCCCCATTGTACTATCGCTCTGGCCCCTTCTTTCTCTTTGAACATGAAAGAGGATATATATATTTATATTTATATATATTTATTTATATATATATTTTGCTTTTTGGGTCACACCCAGAGATGCACAGGAGTTACTCCTGGCTCATGCACTCAGGAATTACTCCTGGTGGTTCTTGGAGAACCATATGAGATGCTGGGAATCGAACCTAGCGGGCCGCGTACAAGGCAACGCCCTACCCACTGTGCTATTGCTCCGGCCCTGAAGGAGTGTATTTCTGACCTCCCAAGCATCACTCAGCGAGCTGTGCTGGGCATACAGCATGAAGCGGGGGGTGGGGGGTGCGGGGGTGTCACCCAGGGAGGAGGGACTCGAGGCCACAGCCAGGGGTGCTTGGTTATCTGCATCTGTACCCATGATGCTTGGGGCCCACAGGGAGCTCTGGGTGGAGCTGGACTTGGCATGAACTTCCTTGAGCCCAGGAGCTCTCGGCCTCCCTGGCCAGAAGGGCAGGCAGTGCGAAGTGCTCCAGACACTGCAGTTGCACTTCCTGTCTGCTCTCGTTCCCAGAACCATCCTCCCAGACTTCTTCGTGGGGCAGGAGCCCTGGGACCCCTCCTCGGACTGGTCCACCTTCCCGGAATGGCTGAAAACCAAAAATGCCAGGAAGATCAATAAGTGAGTTCTCAGAGGGGGAGGCCATGGGGCACCCCTGGTCCTGGGGGCCGCAGAGATCCCTCACATTCTCACCCTCCCCCCACGGGCCTCGTGCTTCGCCCCGGGGGACAGGCAACAGGAGTGGGTGGGGTAGACCCTGAGGCTTCTGGCCGGAGATGCCCTCCTGACACCTGTGCTGAGGCAAGGACAGTGCCTGGAAGGAGCGAGGGCCGGTTTCGCCGGGCATGGGGCTGGCCAGGCTGGAGCACAGACCCTGGTGCATTCTGGCCACTGCCGGCAAGCTCCACAGTTCAGACATACCCCCAGTCCGATGGGCCTCGCGAATGGCTCTGGGTGGGGCCACACACTTTGGTGCTGGGGGCAAGTCCCAGCTCTGTGAAGTGAAAGGCCCCCCTTGGGCCTGGGCATCATGGGTACGGATGGAAGTGCCCAGGGCACTCCCAGCCATGGCCCTCTGTGCTCTGTGGCCATGGGTGGTGGGCCTAGGGCTTTTTTGTTTTGTTTTGTGTTTTTGACTTTTTGGGTCACACCCGGAGATGCTCAGGGGTTCCTCCTGGCTGGGCACTCAGGACTTCCTCCTGGAGGTGCTCGGGAGACCCTATAGAATGCCGGGGATCAAACCCGGGTTGACTGCATGCAAGGCAAAAACGCCCTCCCGGCTGTATTATCGTTCTGGCACCTGGGAGCCTAGTTTTGGTCTTCAGAATAAGTGCATGTGGGGCTGGGGAGGACGCCAGGGGCTGAGCGCAGGCCAAGCCCCAGGCAAGGGGTGTCAGGAGGGGTCCTCCTATCCATGCACAAAGGGGAGGACCCCCTCCCCTGCCCGGAGCCAGAATCAGACCCACAGCCCTGCACGGTGTGGGCACCCCTCTAGCCCCAACGGAACCAAATCCAAAGGGAAGTGATGGGGGGTGGGGTGGGGGGTGGAAAGAGGGAGGTGGGGGCTGGAGGGGAGGCAGGGCTGGAGGCGGGGCGGGGAGACCGGCTGGACCCCGCCCCCGGCCAGCCCCGCCCTGCCCCGTGTTGCAGAGAGGTGGATGCCGTCCTGCAGTTCCTGAGGCAGCAGTGCGGCGCGCGCGCCATTGGCGTGGTGGGCTTCTGCTGGGGCGGCGTGGCTGTGCACCACGTCATGACCACCTACCCCGATTTCCGGGCCGGGGTGTCCATCTACGGTAAGCGGGGCCCCACGTCCCGGCATGCAGGGCAGGGGCAGTGCCCAGCTCAGGCCCCTGCGCACAGCCCAAGCCCTTCCCAGGGAGGTGGGCGCTGAGCTGCAGGTGGGGGGTGAGGCCGGGGGCTTGGCTGCTGGGTTGGGGTCTGGACGCGCCCCAACTGGGCTCCTCGTGGTTCTGGGCCCAGGGGGCCCCTCCTGGTGGTGCCAGGGATGGAACTGGGTCAGCAGGCTGCGTGCAGAGCAGGTCAGTCACCCCGTGCCAGCTCCCACGGGGGACAACATCAGAAGCCGGTCGGGTGCCCCAGCGTCCCTCCCTTTGCCACCGCCACGGTCAGCAGGATGGCAGAACTTTTTCTCCTCTTTTCACTTTCTGGTGCAGGGAACTGAAGCCAGGGACTCTCGCATGCTCTGATGCTCTGCCCCAGAAAAATTTTTTTTTTCCCTTTTTGGATCACACCCAGCGATGCTCAGGGGTTACTCCTGGCTCTGCTTGCAGGAAACACTCCTGGTGGTGCTCGGGGGACCATATGGGATGCTGAGGATTGAACCCGGTTGGCTGCGTGCAAGGCCAATGATCTACCCGCTGTGCTATGGCTCCCGCTCCAGGAACGGCAGTCCTTTTTTTCCTTTTTGGGTCACACTCAGCGATGCTCAGGGGTTACTCCTGGATCTGCACTCAGGAATTACTTCTGGCGGTGCTTGGGGGACCATATAGGATGCTGGGAATTGAACCCAGGTCGGCCTCGTGCAAGGCAAACGCCCTACCTCCTGTCGCTCCGGTCCCAAGGACGGTTTTCTGTGTTGGTGGCTAGTACTGAGAGGCATCCCAGCGAAGCTATGAAAGTATTTTCTCCTTTTTGTTTTACAGTTTTGTTTGGGGGCCACACCCGGTGATGCTCAGGGGTTACTCCTGGCAGTGCTTGGGGAGCTCTTTGAAGGGCTGGGGGTCCAGCTCAGGTTGGCCTCTGCGAAACACACCCTACCCGCTGTGCGATGGCTTCAGCCTTGTGAAAACGTTTTCAACATGCAGATTAGTTTCAACTGTGTGCGCGTGTGCATGCATGCATACACAAGTGGGAACACAGCTGTGGGCCAGAACAGGAATGAATGCCGGTTCACGTGGACACAGCGACAGAAACATCTCCGGGGAAGGGAAGGGAAGGTGGTGTGGCACCTTCAGGGCTGCTGTCGGAACAGCTGTCAGGGTTCAGCACCCGGATCATTAATGGGCTTAAAAAAGAGAAAACGCCAGGACCTTTGACTTCTTTAGTATTTCATAAAGCTACGCTAGTGATCCCCACCGGGCGTGGTGGGTCCTCGCTGGAATTCTCACTTTCAGCGATTACAAAACCACGGCAGACCTTTGTATGTTTTGCTTGCTTAAAGGAAATGAACTCACATGACCCCCGCACCCACAATACAGCCTTTGTGAGCCACGTCCCGGGCGATGGCTCCCTAGCGCCCCCTGGGGGTGGCTGGGCTCTGCACCTTGATCTCCTTGAGGGGTGCTGGGTTGGCACAGAACTCCAGCCCTCCGGCCCTCCTGGCTCCCAGCTGGACTCTTGAGGCTCTGCTGTGAGTCAGCCTGGTTCTGCCCTGGCCCGTGGGGCGACCTGGTGAGAGCACCTCCATGTAGAGATCAGGGCACCCTTCAGTCTTCAGCCTCGCCCACTGCCCCTTTGCCTTGGCTACTCACTGGTTTTGTCCCCGCCTGCACCAGAGCCTGAAACCCCTGGTGTGTGTGTTCAGGGTTTGCCCAGTCCCACTGCGCCCTGCAGGCCCCCGGAGGTAGCTCAGGAATACAGGCTTCTCTGACAGGTGGCCGGGCTGGCTGGGGCGAGCGGCTGAAGGCAGGGGACAGGGGCCAAGGTCCCGTGGGGCTAACCCCTTCTGTAGTCCCTGCCCCCCAAAGCAGCCAGATGACCGTGTCTTTCACAAGGCATTTACCTTCCGATCCCCACGTGTGGCCGAGCTTGTGTGTTTTCCTGCTGTGTGGACACGGCCCTCATCATCTGAATGCCCCAGGCAGGAGAGCGGGTGTCAGGCACAAGGATCTCTAAGATTCCCAAGTAGACGCTGAAAATTCGGTTTCCTGGGACAGGAGCGATTGCACAGCGGAGAGGGCGTTTGCCTTGCACATGGCCCAACCGGGGTTCAATCCCCGGCATCCCATAGGGTCACCCGAGCACCGCCAGGAGTAATTCCTGAGTGCAGAGCCAGGAGGAACCCCTGAGCATCGCCGGGTGTGACCCAAAAAGCAAAAAGAAAAAAAAAACCCACGAAAACTTAGGTTTCTTGCTGCCCTGCCAGCACCTCAAGTCAGAGGCTAAGGCGCTGGTGTAGAACAGAAGGTTCTAGAACAGTCCAAGCGGGAACATTTTTATCATGCTCCCATTTACGGGCCGTGCAGGCGGTGCGTCTGATACCATCGTTCCAGGTGCAGGCGCCCAGTGAAGGGGCTCAGGAGCTGCCAGAACAGGAAACCGGCCGGCTGTCTCGAACAGCTGCAGGGAAAATGGGGCTGGAGAGAGAGTGCAGGAGTGAAGGCACTGGTGCTGGCGAGCAATCCCCGCACCACCAGGAGTGGTCCCTGAGCAGAGTCAGGAACAGCCCAGGAACCGTCAGGGTTGACCCGAATCAACCAACGGAAACCTGAGCCCCCGGGTACGGGGTCTGGCCGACCCACGGCCTGTGCGCTGTGTGGCGGCCCCCAGCATCCGCCCCTCCTCATAGGAATCATCAGGGAGCCAGGGGACGTGTACGCCCTGAAGAACCCCACGCTGTTCCTGTTTGCTGAGAATGATACTGTGATCCCGCTGGAGCAGGTGAGCGGCTCTTCTCTCGCCTGGTCTTGGGGGAGAGCCCAGAGGGCCCTTCCCTTACCGCCAAGTTCCCGGCGCCGAGTTTTGCTGCTGTTGTGTGGTTTGACTCGCGGGAATCCGGCGCTGCGCCAGTGAACGGCGTCCCTGACCCAAAGGCCCCGTGTTTGTTTGGGGGCCACACTCGATGCTGTCGGGGCTTGGGTGTGGCTTGGGGGACCATGCGATGCTGGGGATCAAACCTGGGGATGTGCACGCAAGGCCTGGCCCCAGTCCCTTATTCTGTGGTCAGGAGAGAACACGGGGCCTCACACCTGCAAGTTAGGTGCTCTGCCGCGGAGACAGCCCTGGTCCACAAGGTGACGGTTTCCGAGGGCACATTACTGAGGGTTGAGAGTGGATCTGTCACCTCCCAAACCGCTTGGCTGGCTACTGGGCATAGAAGCAGACCCTGCCTGTGTCCCCGTGGGACCAGGAATCACCAGAGGCCTGTCCCCCAAAGACTGGGCGATGCAACCCAGTGTAGGGCAAGGGGTGGAAGTCCAGTTCCCTGGGAGGGCGCTATTTCTCTCAAAGATCAGTGCATTCTTCCATCACAGTGAAAAGGACTGACACTGGGCTGGCGTGAACGGGCTCTGGGGTTGATTCCTGGCACCCCAAGTTCTGCTGAGCAGAGAAGTGGTCTTGGGGTCTGAGCACAGATGGGTGTAAGCCCCCCAGCAGCACATTATTTCGGGCCACAAAACTCAGGGGTTCCGCTTGGTTCTGTGGTCAGAAATTCTGACCGGTGCTTGGGGTGCTGAGGATTGAACCCAGGACAGCTATAGGCAGGCAAGCGTCCGACCCGCTGTACCCTCTCTCTGGTGCCCTCCTCAAATAACTAAAAAAGATTATACTGAACAATAATTTGTATAATAGTATACAAAACATTTTAGTGAACTGGATAGTACAGTGGATAAGGTGTTGGCAGGCGCTGACCCAGGTCTGATCCACGTCACTACATGATGCCCCAGACCTCTGAGCCCCACCAGGAGTGACCCCTGAGCACAGAGCCAGGAGTGAGCTTTGAGCACTGCTAGGTTGGCTCAGAAACAGAACAAAAATTTTTTCCTGATAATTCATGTACCATTTTTGTATTGCTCTGAATTGTTAGCGATGAGAATCAGAAATGAAGTGTTTGTGAATGTCATGGCACTTAAATTTGAGATGCCGCTACCTGTGCAGTGCCCAGGTCGGCTGGAGGGCGTGGAGGGGCTTGGGGTAACTGGCGCCATCCCACCGCTGCCTCTCAGGTCTCGGTGCTGACCCAGAAACTGAAAGAACACTGCAGAGTGGATTACCAGATCAAGACGTTTTCTGGGCAGACTCACGGGTTCGTGCACAGGAAGAGAGAAGACTGCTTGCCCGAGGACAAGCCCTACATCGACGAGGCCAGGAGGAACTTGCTCGAGTGGCTCAGCAAGTACGTCTGAGTGCAGACTCTGCCCAGACGTGTGGCCTGAAACACTGTCATTTGGTTTAATTCTCACTTTGTACAAGATAAACCGAGAAATTCTGAAACCCACTCTTTCACCCGATACTTTGCTTTTTTCACATGAGCGTCATTAAATATTTGCAGGGGGTGTTGGGTGGATGGGTGCCAGGGAGCCAACTGGGGCTGACCGCATGCAAGGCAAGCGTGTAGTTCCTGCACGGTCTCTGGCCCACAGGGACTTGAGGTAAGAGAACATCTTGGTTTGGTTTGGGTCACTGCCTGCGATGCTCAAGGCTGACTCAAGGCTCTGCACTCAAAAATCACACCTGGGGGTTCACAGGGCCATATGGGGTGCTGAGGGTTGAACCCGGGTCGGCAGCTTGCAAGGCAAGCGCTTTCCTGGCTGTGTTAGGACTCGGGCCCAAGAGCCTGGGGACTCTCAGGGCTGGCAGTGGAATCCCCGTGGCCTTCCTGCCACGCTGAGTGTGTCCATGCAAGCACCCGGTGCAGCCAAGCCCGATCAGCCCCGAGCCGGAGCAAAGCCCCCTGTGCTATCTGGCGGGAGCGGCGGCCTTCCAACACCGCACTGCACCCCGGGCAGATCGCACTCACAGCCCTGCACCTGTTCTCAAAGGACTGGGCTTTCTCCTTCCAGACGGGCCTTCCTCAGCCTGAGCCCGGTGGCGGCTCTGCTTGGCAGTCCCCACGAGTTTGTGTAGGTGCTGGGGGTGCTGTCTTTTGCCAGTGAGTGGCCTTTTCCGGTCTGTCTGGAGGCCGCATGGGGAAACCCTCTGAAGGAGGCGGGCAAGAAGGACCTTCGGAGTCTCAGAGCAGCGCTGCCCGAGCTGGCCCCAGAGCCAAGGGCCCTTCTGAAAAGGGAAGGAGCAAGGTGAGAGCAACAGGGCGGCGGGGTCATTCCCAACCTGACTGGCTGGAAGGACATCAGGGCTAGTGAGGGCCAGTCTGACCCCAAGTCTCAAACAGGCTTCCTGGGACCCAAAGTTCCAGAACTTTAGGGCCAGAGCAATTGTTCAGCACGATTCTATTAGCCTTGCATGCAGCCAACCCGGGTTCTATCCCTGGCACCCCATATGGCCCCTCCAGCCCTTCTAGCAGTGATTCTTCTACAGGGCCTGGACTCAGCCCTGAGCACTGCAGGGCACGAAATATAAACCAAAGGAAAAGAAGAAAATAACGGCTGTTCTCAGACCCTAGGAACTTGGTGGGTCTGCGACCCAGGCCGCTCCCCCTGCTGGCCCTGAGATGAACCTTCCCATGTTGACTTGACATGAAAGGTTTGAGGAAACCCCAGGACCCACAACCAGCCAGGTCTCGCTCCGTGCTGACCGCCAGGCGCTGGTCTGCCCCACACCTCAGTGGACAGGCCGAGGCCGAGCTCAGCAGGGCACTTGCCCTGCATGCGAGGACCTGGGCTTGATTCCGGGTAGTCCAATGCCGAGCACATGGATCCCAAGCTCACAGTCAGAGAACAGAAGAACCGTGTGACAAAGGGACATCGAGGGCCAGTGCTGGGCACAGGCCTGGGGCGGGGGGGATGCTGGCTGCTCCTCCCAATGCACCCTGCTCACCGCCTGGCTCCAACACTGCCCTAAATGTGGTTCCGACAGTGTTCAAGTGTGGCTCTGATTTGAGCTCAGGCTCTGCCCGCGTCTGCCTCTAGCTGGCCCTGGCACCCACCCCTGGCTTCCCCCTCGGTCTGCGGGCAGCACTGCAGCCCTGAGTCCGGCTGTGTCCCTGGGGGGTCATGACTCTCTCACCTTGGCTCCCAGCTCACAGTGCACACCTCCTGGGGGCCCGAATCTTGTACCGTGACCCCTCCCCATTAGTGCAGCCCCCACCCGGGGCCCCTATGGGATATCTGGGGGTCCTGGTTAAGAAGTGCCCCCTCCCCAGAGGGTCGATGCATGGAAAGCGCCTCGTCCTTCTGTGCTGCAGACATGAAGTGAAGGTGCAGTGTTTAGAGCCAGTTTCAGGGGCCGCGTCTGCGTGCCCCGCACAGCCATCTGCCGGCCCCCTTATTAAACTCACCTTCTGTAGAACCAAGCCCAGACTCTGATCAAATACATCTCCAGAACAAACTCCGCTAAAGGTAACGGTTCCCACAGCTACTTAAAAAGTGAAGTCACTCCTTCAACGAAGCATTTAATTGTTACCTATTTATTTAAACCCAAGGAGAAGACCAAGGGCCTCTAGAGCGCCCTTGACTGTAACAAATACAATAGCAAGTGGGAGGCACGACCCCCCGCAGACAGCCAGGGGACAGCCAGGGACGTGATCACCAGGACAGCCGCACCACGACACGCCCCTCTATTCAGTCACAGCGGCAGCCCCTACAACTACCGCGGACTCAAGACCCTGCGTCACTCTTCAGACTCGCCAGGCTTACGGATGTCGTCGATCTTCAGGATCATCCGGACCATCTGCGTGGCGAGGGAGATCTGCTGCTTTTTGCCAATCAAGGTTTCTATGACATGCTGCTGCTTCATATCTGGAAAAGACAAAGTGGGTTTTGCGTGAGAGCAGGCGTAGGTGAGAGCATGGGGGGCCGACTTGCGGGAGCGTTCTGGAACCTGAGCCCAGCTTGCAGGCCTGACAAGGCTCGGTGCACGGGGACAGGCCGGCCACACTCTCTGATGCTGGGGCTTCTAGCACACTGGACCCTGCGCGTCCCGAAGTGTGCGAGGGTCAGAAAGAACCGCCGATGCTGACTCAGAGCCGATCAGGTGCCGTGCTTTAAACAGAGGATGTGTCCGCCGCCAGGGCTGCGGGTGAAACCCCGGGCACGCTCGGGAAGGGGGAGGCGTCACTTCCAGGCAGACCCACACGGTACTTCAACAGCCAAAGCTGCGCTGCCTGTTCAGCGGCCGGCCCACACAGCAGGCTGCGGGGCATGGGGTTCACGCCACCCCGCCATGACGTGCTGTGCCCATAGGACCCGGCTCTGACCAGCACCGAGTGAGAAGACGGAACAGGCTGCTCAGACCCAGCAGCTGTCTGCATGCGCCCACACTCTTACCATGCTGGAAGCTAAAGCCTAATTCAGTGGCTTTCTGGCACGGGCCGAGAAGCACTGGTCTAAGGTGACCCCACATGCCAGAACCGAGGACCCCGGCACCAAAGTAGAGTTTACGTTCTCCTTGCGCTGGGCCCTGTGAACCTCACCGTTGGTGCCCTTGTGCAGACAGTCGATGCCCAGGGCGGGGTTCATCTCCTTCACCTGCCGCGCGCGGACCTCAGTCATGGTCTGGATGGGGTTCATGCCACTGTTCTCCGAGAGAGCCATTGGGATAACCTCCAGAGCGTCGGCGAAGGCACGCATGGCGTACTGCTCCAGCGTGGGGCACTGTGGGGACAGGGCGAGGTGGGGCTTGCAGGCAGCGCTGAGCAGCAGCCCCCATGATGAGAGGCACGGCCCCCTGACCCACCTTATCGGCCGCCTGGCTGACCGCCAGGGCGCAGGAGATCTCGGCGGCGCCCCCGCCGTACACCACGCGGTTGTCGCGGATGAGGTTCCGGATGACGCACAGCGCGTCGTGGAGGGACCGCTTGGCCTCCTCGATGATCTGCAGAGGAGAGAAAAGGGCACTGCCTCAGCACACAGGGTCACCACCCAGCCCTGCACCCACGGTCATCCCGGCTGGCGCGAACGAGACCAGCACTTATTTTTATCCAGTGCCTCTGTCAGCGCAAGGCGCCAGGGAGAGCCACAGAACAAAGCTGAGAAACGTCCAGGGCGGAAACACCAACCATCCGCCCAGGAGGACCAGCCCGGGACAGGGAGGGATGGAGGGACGGCGGCCGTGCCCTCACCATCTTGTTGCCGCCCCTGATGAATATGGTCACGGCCCTGGAGTTCTTGCAGCGCTCGATGACCAGCATCTTGTCCTTGGTGGTCCCAAAAGAGATCTCCTTCACCAGCCCCGCGAAGCCCAGCTTCTCCGGCGTCAGCTCTGAGAAGCGAGGGACGATGCGCCCCCCGGTGGCGATGGCGATCAGCTGCGGGAGGGCAGGGAGGACAGGCGGGATGTCTGGATCAGACCCGCTCAGCTGCCTGGCAGGAGGCCAGGGTACAGGCTGTCTGCACCCGCTCGCCTGGAGCCTGGAGCATCTGAGCCGGGTGCCAGGGGCAAGGCTGCTATCTCAGCAGGGGGCGGGCAGGTCTGGCCCAGACTCCGCCCGCATTTCCCCCTCTGCAGACTGAACCTGGCCCTTCCCGGGCCCAAGGGTATACTACTGAGTCACACAGTGACCAAGAAGTCTGGCGGGCGACTAGCCGGCACAGGATCTTCCTGCCTTTGCCTAGTGGCCACGAGCAGGTGAGGACATGTGGGAGAGCGTTTCCAAGTGCCACTGCTGCCCCCCCGAAATGCATGGCCCACCATCACTCAGCCGAATACCGCAGCCTGTCCCCCCCACCCCCCCACGTTACGCAGTAGAGGCCTCCCTGGGCTCGGCACGTGGTCCGCAAAGGCGAGCGGGACCCCAGCACCTGCACACATGGCCTACCTCGATCTCGGGGCCTCCCACCCAGCGGACGGCGGGCAGCTCGTTCTGCAGAAGCAAGTGATTCGCTTCGTCATCAAAGCCCCACTGGCAGATGGCCAGGTTGGCGCCCGTGTCTTTAATCTGGGAAGACAGAATGCCACCATCACGTTAACGAGAAGCACACACTGCGTGTGGCTGTCCGGGGCGATGCATGCAGAGCTGATGGCGGGAGGTGGCCACGCTACAACGCCTGCTGAGGACTGGGCCGCCCTGACCTCTGCTGGCCAGCATGTATGTCCCCAGAGCTCAGGAGGACCCTCAAACCCCCAACAAGCAACACAGAAAAAAAAACTTGCTTCAGGTCACCACAAGGCCTTGATTTTGGGTCACACCCGGCGATGCTCAGGGATTACTCCTGGCTCTGCACTCAGGGGACCACATGGGATGCTGGGAATCGATCCTGGGTTGGCTGCGTGCAAGGAAAACGCCCTACCGCTGTGTTATTGCTCCAGCCCAACCACAAGGCCTTGAAATCTTCAGCTATGCGGACAGACGCCCTCACTTTAAAGATGGCTAAA